TTGAGGGCAGTAGCTTCCATAGATAAAAGGGCTAAGCCCCTACTGCTCCAACAAAAAAGTTTTTTTTATTTGGGCTCAACATTTCGGAATCCATGGGCTTAAATGCCCCTACAGTCACATATTCATGTACTTAACTCTGATAACACATAAGTATGGCTTCTCCCGTCAAAGCTATGTGCATAAATTATAAACTAGATTACATTTTTGTTGCTGCCAAACACGATAATTTGACTCTGGGATGTAATTTTATCCAAACAAGTGGCAAAAATTGCACAATTTCTAAAATTTCCAAGCCCCAAAACCCAAATTTTCCACCGATCCTGCCCTTCCCAGGGCAGATTTGCTTGATTTTTTTCCTCCAAACATTTCGGAACCCCATAATCCATGTACAGTAGGATGGGTTGCGCCACTGTAGTTATTATTATTGACTCCCAAACCAGTAAAAGGGTTTGGAGGATCAACTCCCGAAAGATTGGGGAAAAAAATAGGCAGCCAGACTTCCTGAAGATTATCTGCACAACATCCTCAGGATTTTCCCACCATTTAGGAGTTGGAAATCCAAATTTTGGGAGTAAATTAACCAATCCCCTATCATTATTACCCAGTTTAACATCACAAAATTCACTAAATTACTGCTCTACAAATCATGAACCCCCTTATCTTATGAGTTTTGCTGCATGTCTCAACTTGTCAAAAAAAGAATTCAAATAATAAAAAACAACTATTAAAAGATGATAAGCATGGCATTTCCAATAATTTAAATCTTCAGAAGAAATTCACTCTATTTTAATTTTGTTTTTGTCTCCTGTAGAAATTTATAAGATTTTGGTACAATTTGACGTATTATCAGATGACAAGAGCAAATCAATTTATGTTTTCATCAGTTGGACATTCCAGTGACTTGAAAAAAATGAAAGGTTAATTAAATTTTCTCTGATATTATGACTGTTTTCTTCTTTTTGTTTCCTTTCACATAGCAATTTCACAGAACAGGTTGTATAACTGGACCAGTGGTTGTGGAAGGATATTATTTTATTTTTCTTATTTTTCTCTCTTTTTTCATTATAATCACTACTAAAATAATTATTTTTATCCGTCTTAAAAAATCACTGCTGTTTCAGCTGTTTCTAGAAACAATATTCACATTACCAAGGGAAAAGGTGGAATTAACTACTAGGTTGGCTCCTTCTTGCAATCAATTTTCAGTTGAATCACTGTGAAAAAATCTCAAGGAAATATTGCCAGTTGACATGCAGAAACTCTCTTCAAAGTTGGGTTGTCAATCAGATGTTACTCAACCATCACCTCAGCCATGCTATAATGTACTTTGCAGAGATTATTAAACTGGAATAGATCACAGTATGACAGAATTTTCATTGGGAGTAAACTGCATGTCAACTGCCACCATTTTGGTGAGGTTTTTTCATAGTGAATGATATTGATACTACTGAGTCTTGCTGGATAGGGTCCCAGCAATAGACATTTTGTTAGAAAAATCACCAGGTCATGCCTCCCCTGAAGGGCCTAAGTGATTCATAGATCAATCAAACTTGATAAAGGGAATCTTCAGCTATGGCAAAATTTTGATACAAACATGAAACTGGTACATACTGAGCCAGTAGCAGGTCAGTTCAAGGCATCAGAACATATAAATTTGACATGTTCCTTCATTCACTACTGGGCTTGGAAAGGTGATGGGGCAGAAAAAATATTTCAATTTAACAGTGTCCAGAATGCTGTCTATCATCCTGGTCTCAAGTTATCTTAGGCATATTCCTGGGCGAATATTGGCACAGGAGTAAGCACCTGAGGGTTAATAGCTTCTTGTACAGTACAAGGCTCAGAGGGGATTGGAGGCATCTGAAAATTAAAAAAGCACAAATTTTGCAATCCTACATCAACAGTAGTACTAGAAGGCAGACCAAGATTTTGGCAGGTTCTGGATCAGAATCTGAAACATACCATGTATGGATATAAGTACAGCAGGAAATTGCTACAGAGAATGTATGATTTGTGCAATTGATTTTCACTGAAACTCAGCAGCAAAATTTGTAATTGACAAAGCAACACTGTAGATTTAGATAAGGACCTTCCACACAGGCGCTTTTGGTGAGAAACAATCTTTCATAAGAATTCATATTCATTCCCAAAGGCTTTAATTCCCTCTTTGCATTCCACATTTAAGAATTTGGCTGATTTGTTCATATTGAATTTAAGAAAAGAATTCTCAACACCATTGAATATCTTACCGTTCTCCAGGCCCCCTCACTTCTTGCAGTGTCAAAAATGCATTCCTCAGTTCTTGGCCAGCTGTGCTTGATACCACATATTATTATTTTGAAAGCATTGGTTGGGAACAATATTCTCCATGTAAAAGCAAGTGAACAGATAGCAGAAATCCAGGCTTACGACTCTTACATCACAGGATATAGAAACATGCCAACACAAACTGGTAAGCAACCCATACAAATAGAAACCATATAGAATCACTCCTTAAACTTTGCCTTGATAAGTGAAACATTTCCCACATGGCTCCATTCTCTTCTCACAAAAATTGACAAACATTGGTCGCTTCTTTAAGATCCTTGGGATTGGAAAGTAAATATGCGGTACAAGAGAGTTTCAAGAAGTAATGAAAGTAAGTAATTCTCTAATCTACAAAGCTCCTCTTTCTCCAATTCAAGCCTGAAACTTGCAAGGCTAACCATAAAATTGATTTGCTGATGAAACTCACAAAATATTCTGCTAGTCCCATTTTGTTTGGCTCCCAAGGGCTTGGAATCTTGGAAAAATGATAGATGTTAGTAAAAACCAATATGAGAAAGCTTTGCTTGTCTTTTTTTGAAAGCTAAAAGATTGGGGGAAAAATACCTTGGTATTTACTTGAGTAGCAGATTGGTCAGGAGTGCCAACAGCTCAGTTTGTGCTACATGTACCAAAGCCAAAAAGTGAGCATGTTCATTTTTTATCGTACTCATTTCAGCATGAAGTAATATCTCTCATTCAGTACTTCCAGTTCAGGAATCTGGAAGCCAATTGAAGTATATTTTGGGTAGCCTTGGGGATATTTTTGCCTCAAATTTTAGATTGGAAAATGAAAAAGGGTTGTTGGTTGAACTGCAAAAGAATTTGTCTCTAATGAATTTGGCTGTAGATGGTATATATAAACCAGCTTCATCTTCATTTAATCTTTTTGGAACAAGAATCCCAATGCATGAAATTTTGGTCAATAAATTCATAATGGAATGGAACAACATTTGGCAAAAACTGGAATTAAACACAACCTCAACTTCAAAATCCAGCATCTATAGAGAAATGGAAACAGTGATGATATCCTTTCTGACTGAATCATTAAAGCACAATATTGGCAACTTGGAGAATGTGAAAACATTTCTCAGGGGAACAAGGGGAAAGCTTCTAATTTTAAACCATATCAACAATATATTCAAGGAGGCAGCTGAAAGTGGAAGATATATCCTCACTATTGACTTCAAGTCTACTATAGTTCAAAGCTCAGCATATGGAGAATTGCAAGTCTTGTTAAAAGGTACTTGAGTTATTTCTTGAATTTTCATATTAGTGAATGAAACTGACTTATTATGTGCATGTCACTAAAAAGTGATGGATCCAGACTTTTGGTCAGTGGTGGAATTGAACTATCTCTGTAAAGTTGTTGAAAGAAATGATAAATTGGTATCTCCATACATCAAGGAAAAAATTGAGCTTTTGAAGGGGAAATCAATCCAGATGAATTGCACTGGGGAGAAAAAGTACATGCCACATGAAATTGAAATTAACTCAAAAATTGGACATGAAACCCTTGTCAAGAAGTTGCTTGAGGATATTCGAATGGCTAAATTTAAGCATCCCAAAATAGAACCAGGTTATGATTATTTGAACTTCAAGCTGGTATATGACATACATAAACTTCTTTTAAATTCTGGTCTTGAATATGTATCAAGTGAATTCAAAAAAGAAATAAATATCACAAGAAATTATCAATATCTTCTCTTTCTTGAGGAATTTATTAGATATTTCTCTGTAACAGCAAATTTATACTTGGTCGCAAAGAAGCCCCTCCAGGTTGGATCCAGTAAATATTTAAATACACCTCACTTTATTCATACCAATTCTGCTGCAAAAAAACACTCAAGTTTCAGCTCCCTAGTTCCTTCTGAGATTGCACAATTTTCTTCAAAAAAAAAACTACATAATCACAAAATCCTCATTAAAAATTGTTGTGAATCATTTCATAGAAATTAAATCATTCACCAAAAAAAATCCAAAAATCTTTATCACTTTAAGTTTCATTTGAAGGTTTATACACTTCCTTCAATGATATTTCATATTGGATGCTCAAACCATGGTTTGATTTTTTTTCATCTACATTTCATTGCCATTTTCTACCTCAAAATAAAATAAATTATGGTCAAATTCTTTTTTGAAAATATATAGCAACTTTGATGTTTCTATTAAACTTACCCAAATTCACCAACATGCTGAGAGACTCAAAGGATCTAGAAAGCTGATCACAAATATTACATGGATTTGAGCAGCTACTAATTAGTTCACCAATATAAACAGCCATGACATTTCAAAACATTCTGCAACCTATCACAGAAAAATAAACCAAGGTGTCAAACTGTGTTCCTCTTTTCACACTCAATAACCCCTGATTGAAGCCTTGTCCCACCAGACTAACCATAATTCGGCAGAGCAGTTCTCAATGGTTTCCAACATTTGCCAGGCCAAATTTTGGACCACATGGCTTGGAGTGATCTCAGCTCCCAAATCAAATTCAATGGAGGCTGCTGTTCCATGTTCCATTAAATGGATGTATTGGTTTTTGAGTTGGGAGAACGTGATTAGCTATATTTGTAATGTGAAAGATGGCCTGGTGACTTCCTTGTTGCCTGATAAAAAATGGAGATATATTTGTGCCATGGGCTTTAAAATAATTAAATCAGCAATGAGTATTTCTAAGTGTTATGTATGTATGTTTAGAAATGTCATGTGCTACTTTGTGATTGTGTTTCATACAAAGCATCAATTAGGTTATAATATGTAATTTGAGTGGTTAATCTGCAGGTGATTATGTATAGCTTGAACCAACTGGTAATAAATGCGGGTACAGCAATCCTATAAGGGTGAAAATAGTACAGAAATGCGAAAAGAAATACATTTGTTTCTGGCTTTCCTTTAACTTATTGAGGATGATAGAACGAACTAAAAGAACAGGAGCGGTTATTTAGACCGATGTTTCTTTTTGGGTGGTTTCCGCTTAGCAGGTTGTTGAGAAGAGGTAGAGGGTTGTAACTGAGATTGGAGGTCGGTTTCTAGAGTCTGAAGTTGTTGAAGCTTGACTTTCAACAAGCCGTACCGTACGAGCTGGTCAGAGTAGTCCAACATCTCGGTCTTGAAGTTTTCCAACAAGCTTGCCAGTGCCGCCCGTTCTGATTCGGCCTCGATCCGCTCATCCTCACCTTCATCCTCATCCTCACTATCGTCTTCATCCCGACGGTCAGAAACTAGCAGGAGTCGTTGATCCACTTTTTCGAGCTCGTCTTGAATCAGCTTGCGGATTGAGATGGATATGATGTCGGGAGGATTCAACTGGCTCTTGATCTTGAGCAACAAGCGCTGAGTATCTAGGCTCAATTCTACGCCGTCTTCGATCGACTTCTCAAGTGGATCATCCTGTCTGAGTAGCCTATCCGCGACGATATAGATCTGCTCTTCCGCAGGATCCTGTTGGCTTGCTTGGGCTACGTTTTTCTCGGCCTTGGGGGCCTCAGAAGTTGTTGTTGGTCTCTCGAATAACGAGTTGATGTCCGTTTTCCGGCTTGTTTCGGCCAACTTCTGGCTGTTCTTGGGCTCTTTCCGAGGTACCCCTGGTGTGAAGATCTTGCAAGCCAGTGTTTTCATCTTGCTTGAATCACTCGAGCTACCCGGTGAACCTCGGGGGGTGTTCAAAACAGTAGGTGTGGCTTCGCTATCACATGAGAGTTCGCTGCGTTCTTCCTTGCGTTGTACAACCTGCGATGATTTGCCTGATTTTGTTGATGCTTTGGATGGGCGAGTCTCAGAAACGTGAGGTACAGGCTTCTTGACGGTCGGTTTGATTGACGCGCTACTGGGGAGGTTGTCGTGACCTTGTGAAGTTGGTTGAGCATTTTCTTTGCCTTTGCTTGACTTGCCGTTGGCTTTTTTAGACGAACTGGGATCCGGTGGTTCTGGATGTGGTTTGGCGCAGTCGGCGACGCTGATCTCACGACCAAGAGGTGATTTGAGGACTTTTCGAGGCTGTTGGAATGCGGATGTTGACTGGGAGGTGGGTAAAAGCAGGTTAGCTGAAGCTTGAGCAGTTTTTGAAACGGTTAATTCGATTTATGATATTTGAAGGCTCACCGGAGTGTTAGGTATTGTCGGGTTACTTGATTGAGGGGGGATTATTGTTGTTAGAAGGAATGACATCTGGCTGGCTCACTTGACCGAATTTTGGTCCAGTAGCAGGTGGTAACGTGAAGGTCAATCGTTTTCCCGCGTAAGTGGGTAGCACGTCCCTGTTCAGGTCGACGTGGGCAGGAAGATGAGCAGAAATCCAGATGAGATTGATAGACAGAGCTGAAGAGAAAGCGCATGGAAATTTACGTTGGGCCATTTCTCCTTCGGGCAACCTTGCGTTCCTCACGAGTTAGTTCACGACCTGGGGTGATAACTTTTTCAACTTTCGGTGGAGTATCGGCTGTTCGAATGTGAAGGGGAGAGAAGCTGGTGGTCTTGGAGAAGTTCATGGTCGGGAAGATTGAAGAAGTGGAGCTGAAAACCACCAACACTTGAACGCACACTCGGGTTTTGTACAAGCGAGGGAAACTCGAGTACATGTTACCTGTGAAAGCTCCACACACCACCTCTGCAATCAGCCTCAATCTGAGGGAAAACACTCCTCAAAACAGGTCTTGACTAATCTGATCAGCTGTACACATCTAACCCAATCTTGAACGGGAATGCGTAGACGGCTTTCAGGAGCGTTGGAAATATAGTTCTACAACAGCTGCAGTGAGATTTGGTGCACTTCATTTTGTTGAGTATTGGTTACAAAATAGAACAAAGAGACTACCATAGTTAGGACTTCACCAATGATAAGTTGGTATGCATCCTTGTATCCTTCAACGGTTTATAATTCTTGGATGGGGTGTAGAATAAGTATCTATTTTTCCTTGACTTCTTGGTTATGTGGCCAAAATTGCTGAGGTGAGTGCCTAAATGCCAGGAGTGTTGTGAAGTGCCTTGCTTTAAACATCAAAGTTTCCAGATTTTCTGCTCATCTGGTGACCACCTTGCAAAGACCTGTACTTTTTCTCAAATTTCTTCCATGTGTAATTTTATTTCAGCTCTTAAAATCCTGCAGAAGCTGAATGATCACCTTGAACTAAATTTTATTCTCACTGCTTATATTTAGCCATTCCAAGCCCTTAATGGCTCGCCTAGAAACAGCACACATAGGATGAATGGGTGCAAAACAGTGGGAGTATCTTTCATTGAGAATTCATTGTGGTTCCAATCATGATTACTCAAACCACTGGGTTTTTAATCCCCTCACTGGCTTTGACCAAATATTTTTTTTTCATGTTTTATACATTTTCAACTCTAAAATTTGACCCATGCACATGAAGTGACAAAGGTTCACTTGCAAAGACTTCAAGCCATCCCACATTGTGCAGCAAAAACCGTATCCTAGGTCACTTATGCCACAAGAAGATTCTACCCAGAGGCCAGAAATCAAATCTTGAAGTATGGTAGTAAAACTTTCAAAAACAGATTTTACAAATTGTATTTGGTCATTTTCAAAAAATGAATTGTTGAGTAACAAACCCTTATCGTATCATAGAAAATTAGAAAAACAGTGCTTGAAATCATGGGTATAAATATGTATTCATGTGTTTGGAGGACATTCTACTAATCCTTCTGACAAACCAAATGTGGCTCCATTGGGGGTTCATGTCTAGCTTGATGTAATTTTTATGGGTTAGTTATAGCCGTTGTTATGATCAACGGTTGTTATTAATGGCGGTTATTTATTCTTTATAAGTGAATATATTTCGTAAGGTATTTGGCTTATCTCAGGATTACTTATTTATTTGTGTTCCTTTTCTTCAGGCAAGATGATCTTGTCGATTTGTGTAATCAGGATCGGCTTACTAGATTGATCTTGTCAATTTCTAGTTGGCTTATTTTTACATTTCCTTCCAGTCTAAAGGTATTGGTAAGACATCGATACTTATTAGACGATCAGATTGTGAGATGTTAAGAAAAAAATATCGTTATTATTTTTAAAAAAAACGAGACTCTTAGCGAGGCTCTTATTTACAAAGGTTCTGCTTTGGTAAGCTTTTCCTCTCGGAGAAGCTTCATTCCATATAGCATACTTCAACCCTAGTACCTAGGACCTCACACTTGGCCCAATCCCCTCGTTTCCAAGGGCCAGGGCTGATCGCGTTGTGAGGCCAGCCAAGCAATACCAGGCCCTGTCCATACATAGAGTATTGCGACTTATTAATGCAACGGCTGTGCAAGGAAGCAGCGAACACAGTGTGCTTGGCTGAGTGGAAGAGTCAGAAGTACATAGACTTAAATTACCCTCATTCTGGAGCACCCCTTTGAACCCCGTGCCACAACTTTACCTTTCCATTCTTCGCAGTCCGAGCGAGAATATTGCCACCAGTTCATCTTATCTGAATAAACTCCGTATTGTCATGTTCATCCTGAATTTCTTCCGAGCGGCAAGCGTCGGTTTGGCTTTCTTGCCCATTATAATTATACTCCATTCCGGTCAGGTTGCCCTTGTTGATGGTGAACAGGCAGTCAACTGCATGCCGCACTTCGATAGTGTAGACGGCAGCCCGGACGTTTGTAAGAATTAGTAACTTGAAAAAATATGATATCGTTGCAGCATAAAACTAACTCTGCTTCAACATCTTCTCAAACCACCTCAGCCTGCTGGGTGGACAGTCACACAAAGCTCACGTGCCCGAGAGCTTCCTGCAACTCACGTCTGCATCCGGAGCGCCCCTGTAAGTTGAAACTTGATTCCTAGTGTCAATGATCATCAAGGCATCTAGGGAAAGACAATTTCTAATGTTTCTTTATCTTTTGACACATATCCTCGCGTGGAACCGATATCAGACGGTCAAATCGTATATAACGGCTGTCAGAATGGCGATGCTCACAAGGACCAGCAACAGGTCATTCCACGCAACTATCACCATTACCCTACCGGCGACAACAAATGGTATCCTGGTCAGAAGGGATTTGTTGGTACGTGTTTAAGAAAATTGTTTGGGTGGAACTCAAGGACCTGCTAAAAACTATTTTCTTTAACTTGTAGCTGCCTTTGACGATCGCACTCAGCTTTGGTACAACTGCGCATATGATTTCAGCAATGAAAACAAGGACACCTATAGTGAGTCTCTTTAAGCTTCGAATCTGACAACAATGTAAAAACTGACAAGATGCCATTCTCAATACCAAAAAAAAAGCTTGTTCAAATTGCCGGAAATAGAGAAGCCAGAATTATGAGGATATGGAATGTATAAATGAAACCTCAAACCTGGACAAAATCCCATTTCATGCTCATTGTCTTTCATTGTACTATCAAGAGACTTTGACTTGCATCAATTTCAACACTCGCCACATTATTACCCAAAAAGATATAATACAAAATAAAACCACCTTTCAATTTGAAACCATGCTGGTCATTGATGTGTGAATAAATAGTCTCAGGCTGTTCTCATTTTCTTGCCAGATTGACTATGTCAGCAAACTCAACTTTCTGATTAAAATAAATGGTGAAGGATGAAAACCTGATGATCCACATGATTGTATGAAAGGCAATTATGGACTACCTGTGACAGTTATGGAAGCCTGGGGGGGGGAAAGCCAATGGATTGGTTTGCAACTCACAACAATTACCAAAGTGAAAATTGAATTTTTCAGATTATTAATAACCTAGATTACCTGTATTAAACTTATTCTAATTTGAAGAAAACTCAACAAGTTTCCAATAAAATTAATCTGATCTTCCTCCCACTCTCAAAACAAGAAAAGGAAAGAAAGAAAAACACAACCATATATTGAGTCAATCATGAAAATATTATGCAATAGAAAATTGCTGGAATTGATTTGAAGAAACTTTAGGTTTTGTCTGATGTTGTGAAAATAATCTTCATGCATCCAAATAGAATTCTATTTCAAAGGTGAAACGATAGGATACAATGTGATAAATTACCATGTATTGGTATTGCATTGTTTTAGCACTAAATTGATACTGATACATTGCATCAAAAAAGCAATGCATTGCATTGGCATTGTATCGGAAAGCAATTCAAATGGCAATGCACACCAAGAATATGGTAAATGCACCAGATCCCGGCTACACCCTGCCAAGCCTACTTATGTAAATCCAGGGAAAACTGGGTTTTGGATACATGGGGAAATTGTTTTTTTGTCTGAAAAACTAGGTTTTGCTACAGACTACATAAGTACCATTCTCTGCATGCATGCAGAAAATTTAGTGAAAAATTCTTCTGTGGGGGCATTGAACCCACAACCCTTCTATACTATACAAAGTTTTTGAAATTAGGTTCAAAAGGTTGGTTTTTAGTTCAAAAATTCCAAAAAGGATTCCATATACACAAGTATGCTTGGTGAGAAAAAAACTGAATCTGCTACATATCTGGTTATTTACATCAGCATCATTTTTGAAAAAAAAACGTTTTGCTACATGATACATAAGCTGGCTTGGTCGGGGCTCTCAGGGGTCCTAATGCACCCAAATTATTGTGCATTGCATCACATTGCTGAATTGATGCAATGCCAATACCCCGCAGCATTTTTTTCTGATGTGGGGCACCTGCATCACCCACTTGATGCAATACAATACAGGCCCAATGCATGCATCACATCAGTTACACGGTTGATTTAAAGCTTTGGGACTATCGGAATTCTATCTGTTTTCATCACTTTGGCAAGCCAATTAATTGAAATATGTAATTAACCTGGAGAATTGAAAATTTTTCTTTTATTTCTACTGGAATATAATACTGAACAAAATAACCAACACTAAAACAGAGGCAAGAAACATACTTGGTATTTATTTGTATTGTCTCTTTTCTGAAACAAATACCTGGTATCAGTAGCTCCTTGGTTGGTGAGAAAATCCACTGTCTTGGATTCCTCCTTTCCAAGCACAAAAAAGGTCTCCGTTTTTTTGTTGATACAGTCAGATATCTTGTGTATTGAAGATATTTTTGGTGGGATCAGCCCTCTGAGTCTGAGACAATACACAATACTTGTCTCACTTTCCAAAGATGCTACGTGTGTATTTGTCTCAGGAAAGTGAGACAAACAAGTATTGGTATTTTTGGGTATTCAAATTCTGAGACAATTCAAATAAACACCGGGTATTGTCTTGTCTTGCCTTGGTTTCAGTGTTGAAAGAACCCACTTGTTGAAAGATCAGGAGGTTCTGGGGCACAGAGAGGCAGAAGCGGGGTTTGAAGTGGCCAGATCAGAGGCAGTGTGGGATTCTTTATGGTATATTTTTTACTAGGAGGTTGATGAGTTGTAGTTATTGGGTGCAAAGGTGAAACCAATAAAATAGATGTATCTGTATCTGTTTTTCTCCAAATATTGTATTGAAAACCAGATACAATAGGGGGTATCAAATATCGGCAAATTGTGTGTTGATAATTGCACATCCCCCCCTCCCCGACCCTCCAAAAGTGGTGTGCAATCAAACCTGCCCCTCCTGGAAGGGCAGGTTTCATTGCACACCCCTCGGAAGCCTGTTTTCCCAAGGAAACAGGCTTCTGAGGGGCAGGCAGAAGAACCCGCCCCTCCAGGAGTGGCGGGCAAGAGAGCCTGCCCCTCATAGAGGGGTGGGACTTGGGAGGACTTGCCCGCCATACGAGAGTATCATAGTTAGGACTTCACCAAAGATAAATTGCTATGCATCCTTATATCTTTCAAGGGTTTATAATCATTGGTTGAGTTATAAAATAAGTATTTATTTTTCTCGACTTCTTGTTTATTTGGCCAAAATTGCTGAGGTGAGTGCCTAAATGCCAGGAGTGTTGTGAAGTCCCTTGCTTTGAATATCAAAGTTTCCAGATTTTCTGTCCATCTGGTGACCACCTTGCAAAGATTGTTTCAATTTTCTTCCATGTGTAATTTTATTTCAGCTCTTAAAATTCTGAAGAAGCTGGATTATTACCTTGAACTAGACTTAAAATCCTGCAGAAGATGGATGATCACCTTGAACTAGATTTTATAGCCATCCCAAGCGCTTAATGGCACACAAAAGAATGAATGGGTTTAAAACAGCGGGAGTACCATTTATTGAGAATTCATTGTGGTTCCAATCATGATTAATCAAACTGAAACCACTGAGTTCTTAATCACCTCACTGGCTTTGACTTAATATTAGTTTTGTGTTTTATACATTCACAACATCTCAAATTTGGCCCGTGCACATGAAGTGACAAAGGTTCACTTACAAAGACTTGAAACCATCCCATATTGTGCGACAAAAACCGTATCCTGGGTCATATATGCCACAGGGAGATTCTACCTAGAGGCTGGACATCAAACCTTGGAGTGTGGTAGTAAAACTTTCAAAAAACAATTTCAAAAATTGTGTTTGATCATCTTTAAAAGATGGATTGTTGAATAAAAAGCCCTTATGATAGCCCAGAAAAGAAAAACAATGCTTGAAATACTTGGCATCAAATCATGAGGATAAATATGTATTCATGTGTTTGGAGGACATCCTACTAATCCTTCCGGTCAACTAGATGTGGCTCCGTCCGCGGTTCATGAGTGGCTTGATCATGCCACATAGCTTATTCTTAACTATGTACATGCATGCACCCTTATCGCGTTGCGAGGCCAGCCAAGCAACACCAGGCCCGATGAATCGAGCGACTTGTGCCCATACATAGATTATTGCGACCTATTAATGCAATGGCTGAATAATGTGCAAGGGAGCAGCGAATACAGTGGGCTTGGCTACGCTTGGGGAGCGGCAGAGTCACAAGTACATATCAAGACAGATACAAAGTACCGAATTCTGGAGCACCCCTTTGAGCCCCGTACCACGATTTCACCTTCCCATTCCTCACAGTCCGAGATAGAAGATTGTCACCAGTTCAACTTATCTGATTATACTCTTATTGCCATGCTCTTCATGAATTTCTTCCAAGCGGCAAGCATCGGTTTGGCTTTCTTGCCGATTATCATTATCCTCCATTCGGGTCAGGTTGCCCTTGTCGATGGTGGCGGGCCAGTCAACTGCATTTCGCACTTCGATAGTGAAGACGGAAGCAAGGACGTTTGTAAGAATTAAGAACTTAAAAACATGTGATATCGTTGCAGCATAAAACTAACTCTGCTTCCTCAAACCACCTCAGCCTGCTGGGTGGACAGTCAAACAAAGCTCACGTGCCCGAAAACTTCCTGCAACTCTCGTCTGTATCCGGAGCGCCACTGTGAGTTGAAACTTGATTCCCTGTGACAATGATCATCAAAGCAATTAGGGAAGGACAATTGCTAATGTTTCTCTCTTTTTTGATCCATGTCCTCGCGTGGAACCGATATCAGACGGTCAAATCGTATATTATGGCTGTCAGAATGACGATGTTAGACAGTACTGGAAACAAGTCATTCCACGTAACTATCACCATTACCCTACCGGCGACAACAAATGGCGTCGTGGTCAGAAGGGATTTGTCGGTACGTGTTTATGAAAATTGTTTGGATGGAACTCAAGGAACTGCTAACAAACTATTTTCTTTAACTTGTAGCTGCCTTTGACGGTCGCTCTCAGACTTGGTACAACTGCGCATACGATTTCAATAATGATAACAAGGACACCTATAGTGAGTCTCTTTGCGCTTAGAATCTGACAACAATCTACAAACTGATCAAGATGACATTCTCAATACAAAAGAGCTTGTTCAATTGCTGAATAGAGAGCAGAGTTGAGGAGATAGTGATAATGACTCATGACTCTTGTCTGACAATCTGTTCATCTCATTCCTTCATGTACTATCAGAGATGTGATAACATGATATCTACAGAGATATATCTAGA